AGGGTGCCGGCCTATTTCTCACTGGAAAGGAGACCTGCGTGAGCTATCCAAAGCTCTGAAAACGCTGCAAAGGGCAGCGCACCTGAGGAGCAAGTCGCTGGGAAGGCATCCGAAAGAAAGCGGGCCTGTTGCGCATCCGCATCGAGCGCCGCGGCGGCGGCAAGGGCCCGGCAGAAGAGGCGCTCATAAGCCTGGCGCTACTCACAGGTGACTTCCCCCCAACGTCGGCGGGGTGGCGATCCGCATGTGCTTTCCTTAACCGTCTTCACATGTGTCCATAGCAGTGGTGGATTTGCTGCAGGAGTTCACAGACATCGACACCCTCCATGAGAGTGAAGAGGGGGCGGAAGTCCTCATCGACGCTCTGGTAAGTTGGGGCGCTGTGGGTTTGCGTCGGGGTTAGCCGGCTAGGGCGGTGGCACTGGGTACAGTGATCTGTGAGCAGCCCGGGATGTTGAGAGTAAGATTGTACCCTAAGTGGGGCACTCACTCCACTTGGGCTTCTGTTAGGTGAGGGGTTGTCGAGACCTGCTGTCGACAAGCCCTTTCTCATCCTTTCTACCAAGAGCAGCTCAGGTGGGTATCGCCGAGGCCATTTGCATGCACAGCCTCGCAGCTGAAGCGCAGACACACAACATGGTATGCCCCGCTCGCGCACTGGGCACTTGAACCGGTGTGCCCTTGGCCTCCAGGTGCCTGTGCTTTCTCCCCGCCCCCACCCTCCACTCCACCGTGTGTTGCTCTTCACCTTTTAGCAAAGAACTCTCCCAGACGTTTGGGTTTTCTTCCCGGGTTTCTAGTCCCCAGGGGGCGGGAAGGAGAGACGGGTATTAGGATATACCTTACAGGTGTGCAAGCAGAGAGGAATCAGGGAGCAGTCACTAGACCGCTCAGCCAGGCCAGAGCCACAGTCCCTGCCTGTAGAAGGCAGACCCAGCCACCCCTTCTGTGGCGGCTAAGCTGGGCCCGTGATATCCTCCTCCACTGTCATCCCAGGGAGCAGCCAATAGGAAGGAGGCGGTGTATGAGCCAGAGCCTGCCCCGCCGGGCCCCATCGAGTCTAATGGAGGCTGATGGGTGAGGAAATGCTCATGTGGAAAGGAAGAGGAAGCCTCCCCTTGGCCACTCAGCCGGGTCCCCGCCACGCCTGTCCCTACCACACCAGAGTCCCTCTCACACGGCTGTCTGAGAGGTGGAGGGCCCGCCCTGGCCAGGGGCAGAAGGGGATCTCGTCTCTGACACATCCTTCGGTGTTCTGTCCACCCACCAAGCTGTCACCCTCCTCAAGACCCTAATGATTCTCTTCCTTTCTCTCCCCTTCCCCTCCATCTCACCTGGTCTCTTCCATCAGGAAAGAGCGTTAGCCAGCCCTGGTGTTGTGTGTTTTGCAGACTATCAGAGATTCCACTTGCACTGGAAGCACCGGAGCTGCTCATTAGGCTGCTTTTATAGGTCTCCCCCCCCTCCCAGACCTTCCGGGTCAGAATCGATGGGACTGTGGTGCCCCAAATGACTCCGAGGCCTTCAGAAGCATGAGACACCACCCCCCCTTGCCCTTTCTTGCTAAAGGTTCTCGACCCTAGAGAGCCCCGTGTGCCATGCCCACTGCTGGCATTTGCTGTGAATGACGGGGTTACGAACCCACTGGATATGAAGAACTGGCTCATCCGGAGCGTGCAGCCGGAACCCAGCAGGGCCATCTGTGACTGAGCTTGATGAAAATTTCTATGGCCGTTTTTCTTACAAGCCCTTTCCTGGAGAGGGCTGCCACTTGTATAGAATTCCAGGCCTTTCTAGTTCCTCTAAACAACTGTGCAGAGAGAAAAGGATGATGTTGGGGTGTCCTTGTGATTTGAGGAGCATCTGAAGGCAGGCTGTGGCCCCTGCTCCCTCCCTGTGTCCCCGCAGTGTCATCTGTGCAGGCTTACCTTCCAGAGGTTAATTACAGTGGCCCCGACGAAGCCTCCCGCCTGGTCCCCGGGCTGATTTTAATTACTATCCTCTGCTTGTGTGAACAGAGGCGGCAGAGAGCAGGGAACAGCTAGCCTGGCTGCTGCTTGTCACACGGCCCGGAGACAGCAGTGCTCACAAAGTCCCTTTTGTGTTTTCCGTGTTGCCAAGCCCACCGACAAAAGCTGGATCTTAGCAATTTTATTGTTTGGGTTGGGGAGGGGGGCACGGGACAACAACAGTTTGTCCTCAGCCTGGGGAGCCATTAAGTAGCTGCTGTACAGGGTTTGCTGGCTGTCATGTGGAGTATTTTATTATTAATATTACTATTTTAAGATTTCGACTCATAGCTTTATGCTGTCGGGTCTGGTGTGAATCACAACCAGTCGAGCATTTCTGAACTCCGGCGTCTTAAGTGTTCGTGTGCAACCATCAGAAGCCATCAGCGTATATTAAAGGTCAGCACAAGTGGGTGGTCTTCCATCTATTTTTTACTACCCTTGTGCTGCATTCAGGAAGAAATTCGATAAGTATTCTCAATATTGCAAGGCTTGAGTTGTCTTTGCGGTTTTAATTTGAGGCCAGTTCTGAGGCCTGGGACTGCTGAGCAGAGACTAGAGGGCGCGGAGCAGAATTGATGCGGTGTGCACTTTGCAGTACTGCCGGTCTCTTTCCCAGGTGGACATGCTAAGCAATAGAGCAGCACATGTGTGGGGAAACAGAGCTGTCCTGGCCTTCTCCGGGAGCTTTGGGTTTTACATTTCAGGTCACAGCCACTGCTGTCACGTAGGCAAAGCAGTGAGCGTTTGGGCCCTGCAACACACTGACGTGGGGACCTGGGGAAAGGGGCGCTGTTCTGAGAAGTCGTGGGTGGGCGGGGTCCCGGCGGTGCTCTGTTGTGATTCGCTGACAAAGGCTGGACTCCTTGGGGATACTGATCTAATTGGAGTCACTTTTCTATAGAACGGTTCCCATAGTTCGTCACGCGCTTGACTGTTCCATGCCACTCTGCCTCTGGGTTGGCATGCCGTGTTTATCTTGGTTTCCTGGAATCCTCGTTCTCACTCTTGAAAGCCTAACTTGAGCCTCTGGGTGGGTTATAGATACCCGTGGATAAGCTCGTTTTTGCTGAGTGTGATTCCCGCCAGAGGCATGGTCTAAGTCTTGGCTCTGTCACTTACCTATCCATTTTGTTCTCAATTTGTTTTCTTCTGTAACATGGGGCTAACAATAGTATCTAACATACAGGGCAAAGCTAAAGTAAGACAATTTTAAGTAAGTCTTTAGAACTGTACCTGGCACAGAATAAGACACCCAAGGAATGTTGGCTATTATTGTTACAAAGGTATTATGCCTGGACTCCATAAGCACCTTATACATTTCAGGGTAAGCTTACATGTGTCATCTTCCACACAGTGAGATGTTTCTGAACGACAGTTGTGTACAGAGCATGAGACAGCTACTTCAAAGGGTGGCAAACCCAGAAAAACACACTACCATTGAGTTGATTCAGACATAGTGATTCTATATAAGGTTTCTGAGGTTGTCAGTCTTTTTTTTTTTTTTTTTTTTGAGGCTGTCAATCTTTACGGGAGCAGACACCCTCGTCTTTCTCCTGCAGAGTGGCTGGGGGGTTTAAGCCACCGACCTTGTGTGTCGCAGTTCAACGCTTAACCAACAGGTCCAGTGCTTAACCCACACCACCAGAAGTTGCAGGCCTAACTGAAATATGCAAAGATAGGAAATTTGGGGGGGTGTTGTTTTGTTTTGTAAATTTTAAAAGGATGCAATAAGTATTGAGAACATAAGGTAACATATCGAGAATGTCTGTGAGAGATGCAAGCTTCTGTGGAAATGAGAATGGAGCCATCACCCATGATAGAAGCAAAAATCAAGGAGTGCAAGGTGCAGATTTTCACAGTGGCCTCTGGGGGAAGACATCGGCGGCTGTGAGGAGTATGGCTGGGCTATGAAGCCGGCAGAGGGAGGAGCAGTCACCACCATAGGCCTTCACCGTCACACCTGGACTCTGGAGTCCAGAGGTCCTTGTGCGCATTGTATCTCAGGCAAGATTTACGTGAAGACATCTGGTCTGGAAAGGAGACATAAGACCCCCCCCCCCAAAATAATAATATCAACGATGTAAGGAAATAAAATGTTACATTAATACACAGCATAAAAGGTACTAGGGTCTATGGAAAAGAACAATGAAGTTGTTGAAAGGACAAGTCTAGGAGTTTGAAATGTAAGATAGGAGCCCTGGTGGTGTAGTGGGTTGCACATTGGGCTAGTAATCACAAGGTCAGCAGTTCGAAACCATCAGCTGCTCCATGGAATTAAGATGAGACTTTAAAAAAAAAATGAATAAAATGTAGAAAGCTTATGTAGAAACTGTAGACCTTGATAAGAAGTTGGTGTGAAATGCCCAGTGTGAAGGGAGTAATTAGATGATTGTAAGGGAGCGTGATACGGTCTGGCAGCTGTGTGGATAACGGATCAGAGGAGCAAGAGTAGAAGCAGGGGGGCAAGTTAGGATTTTACATCCAAGTGAGAGGGGGTGGTGGCCTGGACCAGAGCAGCTGTGTGGAAGTGGGCCAAGGAGGGGGATTTGAGCTGTGTTTGAAGGTTGAGTAGAGGATTGTTGATGGCTTGGATCTGAGAGGTCAAGGAAAGAGAAGAATCACGGCTGGGTTTTAGCTCGGACAACTGGAGGGATGATGAAATGTGGGCCATCATATTAGGTTTGTGATTCTTGTTAAATCCAGTAGAGATGTCAGCTTCCAAAATTGCTCTCTAAAGGATAAAATATGATTAGGCAGGTTGCAAACAAGTCTACCTTTTACATGATGATCAAATACCACAACAGAGCCCTGGTGGTACTTGTCAGGTAAGCATTGGACTGCTAAGCAAAGGATTGGTGGTTCAAACCCACCTGCTACTCCTCTGGGAGAAAGATGAGGCTCTCTGCTCCCGTAAAGATCCATATTCTTGGAAACTTTATGTGAGGTCCCTCTGTGAGTCAGAATTGACTTGGTGACAGTGGGCTTGTTTAGTTTGGTTGGATACTATCATATGCATCCTCAAAAAGTATTGCTTGATTAAGATTCAAGGTGATAGGTTTTGCTTTAATATGAAGTTTCTGGAACTCCTGGTAAATGGACAAACTAAATCTTGAGAAAACTTAATAGGTTGATTGGACCAGACAGAAAAGCAGCATTCCTTCAAACACCCCCCACCAACACCACCCATCCCTCCTGTCTTGCATCCATCCTTGCCGTCAAGTGGAAAAGGCTCTGTCTGCTGCCCTTGAACTTTGTCTCAACAAAATCTGGCTGAATGTTGTTTAGGAGCCCCACTAACAAGCAGCAATAACTAATGTCTTCTCAGAAAATGTCGAATGTGATACAGTCCTGACTTTCAAGGCCAGGGTTGCTTTTTTCTGCCTGGTGCTGTAATCCCTAAGCAGGACTTGTTTCTAGTCTCAGATAGTCACAAGCCCCCCACCCCACCCCCACCCCCAAATAGGCATGAAGGCCAAGCCTAGGGATTAAGGCAAACAGGATAGAATGCTAATTTGTGCTTCTTCTTAGGCAATAGCCAGAGCTATGCATAATAGAAATGTTTTTCCAAGGGTTTTCTGAGCTAAATATATTTTGACTGCTTTTGGCCTTCCTGCTATCAGATAAAATTGCATTTAACCCAGCAAAACATAAAGTTTCACACTTTGCAAGCTTCAAAAGGCTGCCTGTAAGAAGTTTGATTTCCAGAGCAAGCAAACCACTTTCCCCCTAGCCTGACACCCATTATCTACCCATAGCCATTCAGCTCTGGGGTTTGAGCGGGTGGCTCACTGCCACTGTCCCCGCCACTGTCCAGACCGCAGAGAGGAGACACATAACTAAGGCTCACGGAGGAGGAAAAGTGAAAATAAATAAAATCATGCAGATAAAGCGGCACTAAGCAATCGAAACCTGTGAAGCAGCTTGCAGACCCGGCAAGCCTCGGGAGGCCCAGTGGACTGCCGAGTCCGCTGCGTGCGGATGGAGGGAGATTACAAGTCAATCAGGGTGAATTTGAGGAAAACAGACGGTGACATGGTTCATATTTTCCCCGGATGATTTGCCGTTTTCTCGCCGACACCCAAATCGTCCAAGTAGTGAAGGGCAGCATTGCAGTTGGGTTTCTTTGGTGAAGCTCTCGTGGCTGCGAGATGTGAGGGCGAGATTGTCTGTCTCCTTGTGTAAGAGGGGACAACCACTCCCACTTATGTCTGTGGGCCCTTTTCTCTCTGGGACCAGTGTCGTGTCTCCCCCTCAAGCCCCCCTAGAGACCACCTTCCAGTCTAACTCACCCCTGGCTGTAAAGGTATCACAAACTAGCTAGTCATTTCCGCTGCGTCCTAATACTTCCCTTGAGCCCCGCCCTGAAAGACGAGAGAAGCCTCGTTTCTAGATCGCCCCTCTTGGCCATCACCCTCCACCCTCAGGCTGGTTTGCATTGTGTCAAGCTGGGCCCATGGGTGGCCTTGCACACAGATGCTTAGGAAGTGTCCGTTAGGTGAGATCACGCCCTTCTCACCCCTTCTGACACTGAAGTGATCGGGCTTAATGGGGAAAAATAGAGTCTGGGAGTTGGTCACCCCTGCCACCCGCTTTGTGACTTTAGCCGGGTTAATTAACACCTCTGAACCTTTGTTGTCTCACCTGTAAGAGCTGTGAGGATGGCACGGGGGTGAGTGGAGTGATACATGGGAGGAGGCAATTATAATGCACACCTAAGTGTTCTGTTGGTTTACATCCAGCACCTTCTCTGAGTGTCTGCCCTGTGTGGCATTTCGATAGACTTTGAAGGACAGTTCAAGACGAGTCCCTGCCCGAGGTTTTTGTGAGTCAGAACAAGGGTGAGGCAGAGCACACATTCCATCTCATCTGTGCAGCGCAGCCCCGTTTCTTAAGTGAGAACCTAGGGATACACCGGGATGTGCAGCAGATTTGTTTATGTTAAGACATCAGTTTCCTTATTGACTTCCTACCTAGAAATCCACCAGGTAGATACACTTCTGGATAACAGAGAAAGGTGTTTGCTTTGTGGGCCCATGGTTCCCTGAGAGCAGTCTCTCTAAGAACCCAAATCGTGCACGGAAGGGAGCAGGAATTAGTAAAAGCACGATTTCATCCCAGAGGCTGGAAGCTTGGTTTTACTTTTAGCCTTTAGCCTAACAAAACCTACTGCATAATCAGGGTGCTCTTTCGTTTCACACTTCCGAAATGGGATTCCGTTATAAAGATGAAACGGAAAGTGTGCTATGCCTCACCCTCGTTCTGACTCATGGCACCTGTTTAAAAACAAAACACACCCCAGGAGTTAGCCAGGTAGCCTGTGCTTCCACTGGGCTAGCTCGTCTTCACACAGCACCTTTTTTTTTCTTTTTTTTCTCCCCCTTTTTAAAGGCACCGTAGGTGATGAGTTTGAGTTTTTGGCACAAGGTTGGTGGTTCAAGAACACCCACCCGCTGCTGTGAGGGAAAAAGGATGAGACTAACTGCTCCCACAGGGCTTTGCAGCCTCAGAACACCTTCCTAAGTCAGAATCCACTTGTTGGCACCGAGATGGTTGGATAGTGAGACTGAGACAAGCCTGCTAATGCGAGAACTTGTCCGAAGCTGCCCGCTGATCACAGAGACATGCCTAAACACGTTTGAACTGGAGCCCCAGTAGCAATGTGTTTTGACTTACCCTCCCCTTGATACATGTCGTACATACCTCCATGAGTGTAGTAGAGCACAGCGTGTAGTAGCCACAACCAACCCCCTGGAAGGAATGAGTTGCTGGGCCGAGGCCCGGGCTCAGGGTAGTCATCTCAGGGGATACCCCGAGTCAACTGCCATCCCAGCTCACAAAATTCTATATCCTCCTTTGTGGAGGAGCAGTTGGGTCTCGAAGGCTGGCAAATAGCTGTGTAAGGGACAGTTTGGAGCAAAGCGGGGTGAAGAAAATCCTAGCAGCAAGGAAGCAATTAGTCCAAAGTCCTCCTGGGTCATGTGGGCCAGCCTCCACGACCTGATCCCAGGTGAACGCGCTGGTGTCCAGCTACCTCTGCTGACTGCACTAAAAGGCATTGCAGTAGGAGGTCCTGGATGGAGGGGGGAAATGCAGAACAAAACTCAAAACCAAACAAAAGATTAGGCTCACTGGTCTGATGAGAGACTGGTGGAGTCCCTGAGACTTTGGTCCTTAATCATCCTAGAACTGAGCACCCAGGGCCTAGAAAGTGATGGCTTTGTAGCACCAGGGAGGTAGACATTCTTTGGAACCATCAACCGTACGATATCAGAAGGGCATCACTTGTCCAGGTGTGAAGCTCACAAGGCCACAAAGGATACGAGAGAACGAGGACTGGGATCAGTAAACATGGGGCGAGTGGGGAAAGGGCTCTTACATCGGAGGGGATAACAATCCACGTCACGAATCAAAGTGTGTATGGAGTATGGACTGGAAAGCCAATGTGAGAGGCAGAAGGAGAAAGTAGTGGGAAGCCGGCCAGCGTGAGGGGACGGGACATTGCGGGCTGTTTTGTGATGCTGTGCCCTGTCTCCTGTTGCTTCTGCTCCTGAAGGTGGACGGGCAGGTAGTCGCGCTGCTGGTGCAGAATTTGGAGCGCCTGGACGAATCCGTGAAAGAAGAAGCAGATGGGGTCCACAATACTCTGGGTGAGGAGAAGGGGGCCCGGTCATCCCTGGGTCCCTCTGCGCTTGTTTTGGGGGCCTGGGTGGCCATCGAAGTTGCTCCACCGTAGCAGAGGTAGCAGAAGGGCGGGGCCTTTCCTCGTGCACCTACACTGCCCATAGAGCCACGGCTTTGGTAACCCTCCGGGGCACAAATCACAGTGCCTTGTTAGCAGGCCTTTTTTTTTTTCTTTCCATTTTTTGCTTTGGGAAAAGGAATATTGTAGAGTTTTAAAATTCTCCCTCCGTGTGGATGTTTCCTTCCCGCCTTTTCCTGCACTGTCACTGTGTAGCTCTGTCGGACGTTTTGTTTGGAAAAGAGACCGGTCTTCCTCTCCTCGTAGGTGCCGTTGGCTGGTTCAGCTCTGAGTTGACATCTTGCCCGGCTTTCAGCATCTGCTCATTTCAGCAGCTTCCTCCGTGGTGTTCTCCTCTCCCTCCTCCAATTTCCCCAGCCCTAACCATTGCGAAGTTGCCCAGCCAGTGGCCTATTTAAAACCGCACCTTCGGGTAGTCCTCTTTATCGCCTGTCGCTGTCTTTTGAAACTAGAGGTGACATATCTGTAAGCAGAGCTTGAGAAATGGACGAGGCCCAGTGGAAGCAGAAATGTTGATGAGATTAGATTTTCTCCCCGCTCCTTTGTGTGTACCACGGATTCCTCTTGTAGTTCCGGCCTCTCCTCGACGAGGATTATCATAAAGAAGGGCAAGATGCAGTGCCGAGGGAGCTAAGAGAAGAGAGAGCCTAGTGAGCTATAATTTGGGAGTCGGCACCGGTTGGCTAGAGCTAACCATATGTCAGCTGGATTTTGCTGGCAGCAAGCTTATCAAAGTCTTAACTGACTGTTAATAAAAGGGGGTGGGGGGGCTGCCCGCTGTCGTGGAGAAAGCCGTGGACTAGTAGCAGTGTGCAGAGACCTCGTGTAGTGGCATCTTGGCCACCTGCCAACCACTCAGGAGACTCGATCCCCTCTGCCCACCTCCCCCCCCCAAGCGCCTGTGTTTGTCAGACACTGTGCTAGGCGCCGGGTAGATTGAAGATGCCGTCGGTATGGCTGGCCTCTTCAAGGGCAGCCGAACGGGAATTCCTCCGACAGAAAGGAAATACAGTGCACAGTGCCGAAAGGCTTCATGGGCGAAGGAAAGGCCCTGTGGAATAAAGAGGGGGCCTCTCTAAATTGCCGGCTAGGAGCAGGTCGCGGACTGGGACCCAATATGATGAAGACAGGTGCCGCTTGACAAGTGGAGAAGTGTGAGAAGCGGCCTTGGGCAGGGGAGCAGCAGCTGCAAAGTCTGGGAGCCATGCGCGGGAATGAGCTCGGGCTGCGGGGAGGGGATGGGGGGGCCTACGTTCATCCAGATTATGGAAGACAAGAAGTTGGGGTTTTATTCTTTGGCGCCCACAGGAAGTCATCTGCAGTGTCAGCAGAAGAGGAAGATAAGATAAAAGCATAGGAGATCAGAGTCAATGAGTTGTTGATCCCCACCCCTCTTCTTTTCTAAAGAACATAATTCAGGGTGTTGGGAGGATTCTCCTCTGTCAGGGGTCTCTGCTGCACCCCTGTCCAGTCCCTCTTTGCCGTGTCATTGGCAAGGCTGACACGGTGAGGGCGTGAGGAAGAAGATGGGGAGTGTGGTCCTTTCTTCGGCCCTTCCTTTCTCCTTCAGAGCGCAGACGTGTGCTCAGAGAACACAGAACCCTATCTTCCTTGTAACATGGGAGATACCCTAGGTTCTGGAACAGAAGGGGCCTTGAGGAAATGAAAGGATGAGACCATAGGGAATTTCTTATTCTAGGCTCTTTTTTAGTATCATAGTTATGGAATTGCCTTTTTTGTTTTGCTTTTTCTTGCCTCCTGTTTTTAAATGTTTACAGTAAGCAGCACTTTGGCTGCTGTGGGAGATAGCAGACCCCCATTGCCTCTGACTACCTGGTAGGCACCTCAGCCAAAATGGGCTCTATCATTTTGTTGAATTACAAAAGGCCATGCTTGCCCACTGTGCAGTGTCTTGGCTGGCAGATGATAAAAAAAATACATGTGCAAAGGAGAACTGAAAGTGGACGATTCAGGAACGAACAGATCACCTGGGCAGCAATGGGTTTGTGTCTGCTGGTTTTGTTTTTGACGTTTCCTAAGGTCTCTGCCTCTGTAAGTCGCAGGGCTCGGGGCCCCTGTTCAGTGAGCTTCTCAGGCACACTCTCAGGTGTGTCCACGTGCTGCTCCCCCGATTAGCAGAGACTCACCAGAGATTGCTTAGATGATTCCGATCGTTCCCAGTGAGGAGCTTCCCGTGTGTAAAGTGTAACACACCTTGAAGAAAAAGAGAAAACCAGACAAAAGCCCAAACCACAGCAACTCCCTGGTTAATGTAAAAATGACAGCGGAGCATCTGGCTGGGAGGGAAGCAGGGACGTGGGGAGAGACGTCCAAGGCCTATCTGGAAAGGAAGCTGGTCCGTTGGAAACCAAGTTGCCCTGCTAAACAATCAATTATTTATTTCCCTTCAGCTATTGTGGAAAACATGTCTGAGTTCCGGCCCGAGATGTGTACAGAGGCAGCCCAGCAGGGCCTTCTGCAGTGGCTGTTGAAGAGGCTGAAGGTAAGTCTGGTTTTGAGGGCCGTGGCACAAACCTGGTTGCACTGAGCACATCTGGTCCCGGGCCATAGGGTTCTGTTTGGGAAGGTTCTGATACCTCTTAACCTGCTGGTTCTCTTTATTTCAAAAGAAGGAACTTTACAGATAACCTTTAATATTTTAGAACATAATTTAAACATGTTGTCAAAGCAAATTATTATGTTGTAGAAGATGCGAAAAAGAAAGATATAGTGTCCCTCTTCTGATCCCTTCCAGGCCTGCTTCCCAGAGGGCCACTGGGAATTTCTGCTTTTCCTTTCAGAAGTTTTCCATGCAGGCAGCACAGGGGGTTTCAGGAACTGAATGATGCAGCATTTTGTTGCAACTCGGTTTGTTTGTTTTGCTGAACTAATGGCTGCTTCATACATCAGTGGATGGATGTACCAGACTCACTGTAACCATTTCTCAGTGTACAATGGTTTTTTACTGTAGAAACAGCGATGCAGTGCATATCCTTGTATACCTAGACTATTTTTGCTTGCACGCTTGTTGAATTTACTTCCAGGATAAATTCCTAGAAGAGGAGTTGATAAGTCAGAGTATATGTATATAGGTACTGGAATATTGGAAAATTGTCCCCAAACGGCTGATTTTTGAGTGTCCGTTTCCTTCTATGGAGCCCTCATAGCTTACTGGTTATTCATTGGGCTGCTAAGTACAAGGTCAGTAGTTTGAAACCAGCTGCTGCTCCATGGGGGAAAACCCTGGCTTTCTACTCCTGTAAAGAAGTACAATCTCGACAACCCACAGGGCCAGTTCTCCCCTGCCTGACAGGGTCGTTAGGAGTCAATGTCGGCTCACGGCAGTGAGAATTTCCTTCTAGATAATATTTTATATCCCTATAAGAAGATCAGATAATACAACTATCATTCAAATGTACCCTTCAACCACTCAAGTCAATGTTGAGGAAATTCTACCAACTTATTCATTCTGAAATTGATCAAATGTCCAGTTAAGTTACATTGATAATTACTGGCAACTGGAACACCAGAATTAGAATGTGTTAGTTTGGGTACTTTAGAGAAACAAAACCTTAACTCTACAAAAGAATTTTGATTCTGTGAAATCAGGACCAATTAAAAAAAAAATTTTTTTTTTTTTTCGGTTTCTTGAGACTCTTGGTACAGATTCAAGGATTCCTCAAGGATCCTTCATTAGACCAGAATGTTAAACCTCTTCTGCTTTTTGAAAGTTGTTGTAATTTTCCAGTCTTCAGAATCTAACTTGCCTTTTGAAATTGTACAGACAGGGAAGAAAATTGACACCTTTGGGTGTTTTTGGCTTGGGTTCTATTACGCTGATGACTGTAATAAAGCGGGTCCATTGGTGGACTAGTTATTGCCTCTTAGGCATAGGGTGTGCCGTCTCTAAAATGATTTTTTAAGGTTCCAGGGTATTTAAACATTAAAATGCTATTTGGTTATTTGACTAGGAAGTAAGTGAGTGCCCTTAGAAATGTGCTGCCAGAGCATGAACGACAGCAAGCCCTCCCCGGGTGAGGCCAGCAAGGAGGCATGACTTCTGAACCAGTGCCTTGCTCTGACTTCTCTTAATCTAGGGAAGCACGTGTCACCATCTCTGCCATCATAAACATGGCAGCACAGCAGCGAGAAGGCTGCACCCAGATCAGACTTTTTCCTTAGTAGTTGTGTAACTGAAGGCAGTTGGTCCCTTAACTTGTCTGGGATCGTATTTCCTGCCTTTCTAGTTTCACAGGGTCTCTGACGTTCAAGTGTGAGGATGCTTTTCAGTTGTAAAAGTCTGTTTTACAATGCGTTTCAGTGGGGGTTCCTTATCAAGATTGCCTACAGAACTCTCAAAAAATACTGATTCCCAGACCCATTGTCCCAGTCCTTGATGTTGGTCTATTTTAGAAAAGTCCTGCAGGTGAGTGAGTCCCAGATTGATTTAAAATTCCATTTTCAGTCTGCCAGTGTCTGTCTATTCAGGAACCTAATGTAACCTACAGTGGTACTGACTGTCGTCTCCAGCATAGCTTTCTCTCTCTCTCTGCCTATTTTTTCTAAAGCCCCTTAACCTAGTCCAGTGATCCCTGGTAGCACAGTGCTTAAAGCACTCCACTGCTAACTGAAAGGTCGATGGTTCCAATCCACCATAAGAGAAAGCCGTGGCAGCCTACTTCTGTGTAGCTTTCAGTCCTAGAAACCCTGCAGGGAGGCATGCTGTCTTGTGTGGTTGCTGTGGGTCAGAGTCAGCTTGACAAGTGATGGGTGGGTGAGTTATCAGAGCTCCCTCCTGACCTACCACCTGCCCTGCAATGGTCACAGTTATTTTGACCATCGTGTCTATCTTCATTCACGCTGTGCTACTTTCCCCACCGGAATGACCTTTATTTCTTGTTTCTGAATTGTACACAACCTTAAAGAGCTTGCTGGTATGGTGTTCATGCCTTGGGCTAAAAACTTCAAGATCAGCAGTTCAAAACCTCTAGGTACTCACAGGGAGAAAGATGAGGCTTTCTACCTGAGTAAAGATGATGTACAGCTTTAGAAACCCAGTGGGCAGTCCTGCCCTGTCCTATAGGGGTGCTGTGAGTCAGAATTAACACGATAGCAGCTTCAATCCCTACTCTGCCATGGACCTAACATCACTTGGCATGGACGCTTAGAACTTTAGGGAAAATAATACCTTTCGTCATAGATAGAAAACTACAAATCGAGGTCTGGATTAAGTGCCACGCCCCAACCCATACTGATGGTTAGATACAGAGCCATGCTCCAATGTTCTGGAAATTTTCTCATATCCCTTTTAAACAGCACTCTTTGCCCTCAGCCTGTACTGCCCTCTCTTCATTTATTACCACTCGCTCTCTTGTGAAAGTTACATGTAGATTCAAATACACGAGGGGGCTTCAAAAGGTTCGTGGGGAAACGGACTTGAAAAATAAGGGGGATATTTTTTTGAAGGCCCTTCTCTTTCTTGTGGTTGTAACACTCCAGGTGCACTTTTTCTTCAACTGGATGTGGAGATAGTACCAGCACCTGGAAGACACTCCAGGAGCCCTGGTGGTGTCGTGGTTAGGTGGTGAACTGCTGACCCACAGGCTAGCAGTTTGGAACCACCAGCCTGTCCTCGGGAGAGAGAGATGAGGTTTTCTACAGCCATAAAGAGTTGTCATTTCAGAAGTCACTGCCCTACAGAGTTAGCATGGGAGACATCCATTCCATTGTGTGTGCCTTTAATATTCTTAATTTACCTGAGAGCAAAAACTCTGTCTCGGTCATATTTGCATCTCCTTTTGGTGGTTTTGAAAATGTGGTCTCCTAGCCCGCAGCATCAGCAGCTCCTGGGAACTTGCTAGAACTTGGTAGGACCTCTTGGGCCTACCTACCAGCTGTACAGAGTGGGGGTGAAGCCAACAGTGTGTGTTTTGACAAACCCTCCGGGGGCTTCTGATGCACGGCAAAGACTGAAGACCACTGTCGTAGAGCGCTGCCACAATGCTGCCTATCATATATTTATCCAATAACCCGTGAGTAATTAAGTGTGTGGCACATTGATGACAGGCATTCCAGCCTTGTCTGCCTCCTTTTTTTCATGGGGAGTCTGACTTTTACAGACAAACACATGGCTCTCTTCATCCACCAAGCAAAGCAGATTGGTTCTAATGAGGAAGAAGCCGGTAGCTGATGATTGTATTGAACGGATTAGCAGGTAGTGTGAGAGGCACCACATCGTGGTTCCGTTTGGGGAAAATATCAACTGTTTCGGGTGTTGTGTACTATGGAAAATAACAATTTTAATCACTCGCACACATTCACCCATTTTCCCCGGTTAAACTGATGCTTCAAAAACTTCTGGGATGTTCCGTTTATGCATTCATAAATTGAGAACTGGTTACAAGCCCGTAGCCCCTTGTGACCAGATGTGGGAGGTCGGTGAGCACAGTCTCTTGTGCAGGGCTCGGGGGTCTGCATCTGCCCCTGCTGGTGCAGGTACTAGAGGTGGACAGCAGAAATCACGTGTAGTTCGGACTACAGGTGGTAACATCGGTAACATCTTTGTCTTAGACTTGCTTTTTTTAAAAAAAGCAGCTGTGCTCAAAAGGTGAAGTTTAATTTTATGGAAGGCTAGGACATGCTGAGTAAACACCTATGCTTGACTCTTATAATTACTCTGCTATCTGAAAGACTTCGGATCGACAGGCTCACGGATAGAAGAGAGCCCCACAAGCACCAAGCCGCAGCACTTCAATGTGCAGACTCAAAGAGGCTGTTCTGTTAGCAAATTCCCCTTTCCTGCTTGTGACCGAATGCCTTTGTCACCTGCCCACTTGGTATTTAATGCGCAGGCTTGGCAATGGTCATCTCTGGCTGAGGTTTAAACAGAAACGCAATTTCCTTGGTGACCTTTGTCTTTAGCAAGACATAAAAGAACACTTTTTTCTACCCCCACCTGGCCTAGTGTCTGTTCTTTCTTCTCCACGGGTTTTAGACATGTGGTGGTGGTCATCCTTGTGGATGGCTCCTCTGCTGAGTGTCATGTATGGACTCTCATAATGCCCAGAGTCTCCTCCTTGTGCCTTCCGTGTGCTGTTTGTCATTCTCGCTAACAAGGATGTGAAGTGGATGCTGCTATCCCCAGGTGAAAAGGAGGGAAGATTCCCAGAGAGGGGAAATCATGTTGTGCGAACCACCTGGGAAGTATGTGGGAGATCCTTGGAGACCCCGGGTACCTCCTCCTCTCCAGCATCCCAGCCCTCCCAATGCAAGATTCAGGGTCTGGGAATCCTGGGGCCAAATCATACCATTTCCTGAATCGATTTCCTACCTTGTGGCATTTGTTTTGTTGTTGCTTTTTTTAATAGAGGAGATGATGTTTTTGATTTCAAGAAATCTGCTCTGGCTATAAAAGGGTCACATGGCAAAAGCTGGAGAATTGCGAGGGGAAACTGGCATGCTCAGTAGAGGAGAACGCAGCCATTGGGTGTAAATGGTTCATTTGACACAACACCCTCATGAGAAAGGGCTGACTTATTCTCTTTAGTGTAAGAGGAATCTGGTTAGAGAGGTAGGGTGATTGGGCCAAGGACACATAGCTGGTAACTGTTAAAGCTGAGATTTCTAGTCCAGGTTTCTCTGATTCAATCTTCCAGAAAATGTTCCGTTCCTGCTGTGTACTAGGGTCTCTCATCTTACTTAATTCTCACAGTAACTCCTCAAAGAATAAATTATTTCCACTTTACAGTTGGGAATTCCCAAACATTCTCCATGCATGGTGCTCTTAGTGCCTCCATAATTCTGTTTTCATGGCACCCCTATGCCCAAACATCCCCAACAGACCAATGTACCAAAGAGGTAGGGCCAAGCGTAACAAGTATTTATGTCCTAGTAATTTGTTAGCCATTAAAAAAAACCCAATATATATATAAATTGGAAAACATTTACTTACTAACATATGTGAGTGGCTTATGGGTACTACCCACCTTCTCAGACCTCAGGACACCAAGCACCCCTATTCCTGTTCCACATTTCCACACAGTTGTTTTCTCCCAACAGTCCCCCAAGCCCAGCTTCAAGTGTACCTCAAGTCAGTCGATAATTCTTGTTCAACAGATGCCTTGTGTGCCATGATTTTCTCAAAAATTTCAAGTCCCTTGCAGTGTCTTCATCAGTTTGTTATGATGCCCAGGTACCAGGGCCCACAGTTGGAGAACTGCTGGCTTCGGGTAACGCACATCGTAGTGGGATGCTCATGTCTCAAGTGTAGGTATATCTGATTGCAAGTCCATGACCTGTAGGGGAGAAAATGATTGTGTAACTGAATCGAATTAATTTTAATTCATTGTAAAAAATTTAAATGCTATTAACAATGAAAGAACAAGGTTCGTGTATAATTTACCTGTTTCCTGGAGTGCTTCATTCTGTGCCTGGCATCTGGTGTGAGCCCAACAACTGTATAGTGAAAGAAAGAGAAAGCTCCCTCACACTCCGGGCACAAGAGTTTATAACATCAGCTAAAAGACCAAGAGGCACTGGAATCACAAGAAGACCATTATTGTAGTTGCCTGATGCTTTTTGGTTTGTTTCATTTAAATGTGCCATATTTCTGGTCCACAAAGACTTCATCCTACTTAGGTGAATTGCCACTGAGATCTTAATAGCTCATGAGTGTCCATCTGAGATGCAAACATTGGTCTCTCCCTGTTGAGAAGAAATTAAAGTAATGAAAATTGAAGACATACAGAAACACTTAGTCCAATGGACTAATAGACCATGTGACCACCACACCCTGCGATCAGAAAAACTCGATGGTGCCCAGATAATACTGCCCATTGCTTGAGAAAGGAGCACATTGGAATCTCCTGGGTGGAACGGGAGAAAGATGTGGAACAAACTCACAATCATGAAGGGGTATTAGTCTTGCTGGTCAGTTAGAGATCTGTGGAATCCCAAGAATCTAGCCCTTAGGATCTGGAATTGAACTCACCCTGGGGGTCTAATTTTCAGTCAAGCAATAGACAGGTCTATAAGGGGAATAATAGCACCATCGATGGGTGCACACCTCACAATAATTGACCACTAGGGATTGAGGGGGCAGCAGTGAGTGAAGGACAGAGTGTAGAAGGGCCAGGAAATAGGGAGAGATGGAGACAGGAAAGGCAGGGAGGGTGCAGTGGGCCGTGCTATACTGAAGGGATTGAGGTGAAATATTATGTATTGAAGGTACAGCGGATGATCTGTTCTGTGAACTTTAATACACACATACAAATGTAATCGATCAATAAATGTGTTGCTTCAAACAAAAGCCTAGACCTTTGACAAGCTGCCTGGAAGTTGGTGGTAGATTTAAACCTTGAAATTAATAGCAGCAATACTTGAAACTCGCCTGACTTGAGTCAGTAATTGGGTTAGCAAGCACCTTGGTTCAGATGGGGGATCACTCCTTGGCTCCTCACCTTTGTGCTTTGATTTTTGTAAAACCGTTTTTCTTAAAGCGAAACACATCACAGATTGCATTTAGGCCGAGGCGGTCCCATTGACTGTCTTGGAACAAGGCTTCCAGCTTACCTAGGGAGCCACAATCCCTTGCAGTCAGCACACGGAAGACCTTGCATTTACAGATCTTTTCATCTAAGGCGGGTCAGACCTGGTCAGCCTCCTGAAGCCCTGTGGGGTGCACTTAGACTTGACGAGGCAGCCGTGAGCAGAAAACGGGAAAGAGGCCGATGTTGCTTCATTAGGGGCCACTCTTCCTTCTTAAGTGCAAAATCAATGTCCGAGCAGAACTGTGAATGGTGCTGCGGTGATGGAAGTGTTCGCTCCAAGATAAACACTGGCCCTGCCCTTCCCAGGCACGGAAATGATTTGTCATCTCAAAAAACTGGGCATAGGTGGCACGGCTACTGCAGATGGACAGCTATTGTCTATGTGCCTGCATGTTTTAAGGATTGCAGGTCCTGGAAATAAAGCATATCCTGGGGTCTACTCCTCTCTGTGCCCCTTTATCCACGATGAACTGTTAACAGTGAGACTCGGGCAGCCCTGTGGACGGCTGGGAGAGACGGTCCCTGCAATTGCTGTGTCCCCTTCGAAGTCCCCAAGTAGCAGAACAGGCAGCAGGGGAAGAATTGTGGGTAGCAATTTGGGTGTTAAAATATTAACACATTTTTGCATATTTAATGTGGTTTCCTTTTTAAATAGTAGGCAGATTATGGCCTAGGAACAGTAGGTTTATTTCAAATTAATATTTAAACATTTTTTAAAAGGGAAGAAGTACTTAGTTATAAATACATTTGGTTCCTCTAAACAAGAGACGACTTTGTTTTCTCTGATTGCATACCAGTTAATTTGGGGTCTACTTTGAGGATAGTAACCCGTGAAAAGAAGCTTCGGCGGGGCGGGGAGAGATTGTCTTAAAACTTCATAACTTGCACCTCGAGCACCTACAGGGTGCCGGACCGCTGGTCTCTGAACACCCCAAAGAGGGAACCTAGGCAGACGTCACAGAGGGACTTTCATGCCTGGGCGTGAAGTGTGCGGGAGCCCTCGTGTGTATCTGCCCTACCACCTAGGGCTTCACGCTGTGACACTTGAGTCCCGGCTCTGGGGAGCAGGCCCTAACACACCTTTTCTCTCCTCCTCTCTAACTCGGATCCCAGTCCTTGTGAAAAATTTGCCCTGGGGAAGGAAGCAAGGCCCTTAACGTCTTCTCTCATTTCTCCTCTCTCCCCACAGGCAAAGACGCCTTTCGATGGCAACAAACTGTATTGCAGTGAAGTGCTGGCCATACTGCTGCAGAACAGTGACGGTGAGTTGGGGCCCTCTTGGCATTGATCTTCTGTTAGGGTAGGAGCCAGGCGTGTTTCAGATCATGACAGCGAGCTCTCTTGCCTTCGGCATCCCCTTGCTCTCCCCCGCACTCTCTGTGCAGCTTTTGTACTCTGTCAAGCTGTATTGATTTTGTTTGCTGATGTATCAGTGTTAGACGGCTGTAAAATCTGACAGTTAGCTTCATTTTTTTCCCCCTTCCTCTCTTTTCCCGCCCCTTTTAGAAAACAGGGAATTGCTCGGGGAGCTGGATGGAATCGACGTGCTTCTTCAGCAGTTATCGGTGAGTAATTCTTCTGCTTCCTGTCTGCCATGAAGATGGGGCCTGTCCTAAGTGGGGGGTGGAGCTGGAGCTGGTGGACAGGAACCAGCCGCCTGATGAGACCAGTGTGGTAGGAAGTCTGTTGACAGGATGACGTCACATTGGAGGGACGTGGCCTGTCTCTTGTTCTGAGTCCCTTGCCCTTTGTCACTGGATGTCATTGTATGTTCTTGGACCCCAAATGCCCAATTACGTACAGAGTCAGCCCACTCCCAAAGTCCTGCTCCATTCCTTTCGATCTGCCATTGAGACGCAGGCAGTCCATCCAGGGTCCCGAGAAGCCCACGTTCCCGTGCACCAGCCAGGGTTGGGAAGGGCGTGTGGTACCAGAGCCTGAGAGGAGAAAGGGAAGATTGCCGCCTGCGTGCCATGAAAGATGTAAATCCAGTTGGAATGTTTTTCGGCTGGCATGCTGAAAATGGTGTGAAGATTTCTCCTAACAAACCTCATCTGCGCTCCTCCAGCAACCAGGCTGAAAATAGAACATTTGGAAGAGAGCTTGAGAGTGTTGGAGTGTCTGAGATCTCAGTTTGCATACACCGTCTGCTCTCAAGCAAACAGCCCAAGTGCTTGGCTTCCACCCCCAGCAGAGTTTTATCACGTGAATCCGCTTCCAGGTCTGGGAAGGTGCTTAGTCTTGCGCCTGGCAGCTGATTGATCATTTTGTACCAGATTGTCTGGGTGTGCACATACTATTTAAAAGGTCCTCACTACCACCACCACCACCATGTGGTACATCTTTGGCAAACACACACTTTTGCTTTCAATCCGTCATGTGACTAGGAAACTCTCCCTTCTGTTGAGCCCAGACTTGCCCGTGCTGGGCTCTGGTAGGAAAGGGCAGTGGCTGGGTCAGGCAGTGTGCGGTGCCTGGCGGGGTTCGGTTTCTGCACCTGGGTACCGCGACTGCAGGGCAGGGCTGCTCCCTTTATTCGTGTGGTTACCTGTGTCTGTTATGGCGTTTGCAGAGCCATGTTATATTTTACAGTTGAAATATAAGTGTTTGGGGTTTAGTTTTTAATCTCTCCCAGAAACGATCGATTACTCATAAAGCCAATGGTCAGCTAAGTGTTTGGATGTGTTTGTGTGTGTGTTTCGTTTAAACTGACTGAATGCCTGGGAGTCAGAGACTAGTGGAAGTGGATGCCAAGGTTCTTGATGTGGTTCCACGTCTTCACGAGTGGGGTTCTGGTGCCCGGCAGGCTTTGTGACTTGCTGGGTGATGGCCGATACAGACATTCCCTCATGGCTCTGTGCTGCCTGCTGTCTTTTGCCTGACAGGTGTTTAAAAGACACAATCCCAGCACGGCTGAGGAGCAGGAGATGATGGAGAATCTGTTTGATGCACTCTGCTCCTGCCTGATGCTCAGTTCCAATCGGGAGCGTTTCCTGAAGGGAGAGGGGCTTCAGCTGATGAATCTCATGCTCAGGTAAGGTTCTCATCTCTGCGCTCTCCCAGCTTTTGTGTCCCTGGCTCCTCACTGGTCATGTGGATTCAAGAACACAGGTTACTCTGTTGCGTTTCCTAGCAGTAAGGTCTTCAGGCATGTGTACATGCGTCTCTTCTGTGTGAGGTGAGGCTGCTCCCACTGCTCTTGTTGTGGACTGCCCAGTGGATTCCAGTCACAGTGAGGGTGCATGACAGAGTAGAGCTGTCCCAGAGGAGGAATTCCCAGGTTGTCATCTTGCTGGGAACAATTGCCCAGCCTTTTCTCCCACCGAGTAGCTAGTAGGTTGAACCACCGACCTTTTGCCACCACAGCTCCTCACATAAGCTGATCAAGGGTTGATAAAAAGTTTGTTTCTGGTTTGCTTGGACCGTCTGGTGTCAACTGGTAATCTGACCATCCCACTGAAGGGCATGTCGTCTAGCTTGCCCTTCTCTTAGTGCATTGATTTGGGGGAAATCTAGTCATTAACTTCTGAGCTTATCCCGTGTTCATTTCTTACCTTAGCCCACCCTTTTGTATATGACACCCACAGACCTCTCATCCCATTTATTTATTATCCCATTTATTGATCCCCTATTTTTGTCAGATACAGCACAATATCACTGTCTCCCTTCCCCCTTTGTTGATTCAGTAGCAACGGAGTGTCTGTGTGCGGTCTGCCTAGCATAGGAGCTATGAAATGTGTCCAGTAGACCCAAGCTTTCTCCATAGTCCTTTCTTTGTTATTTCATGATCAGTGCTCAATCCTCAAATCCTTAAGAGGGCAGCATCTTCGTATAGTCACTGAGTCCTAAAGTTGGAAGCAAGAGAGGCAGCCCCTCCCTTCCTGCCCTCTCGCTTTCTCTGTCTTTTGTGAGAAATGTGGGTAGGAATGGAATTGGAGTGGGCCAAGAGGGCACAGCGTAACCAGAGGATCGGGTAAGTTCTGGAGAGGCACCAGTGTTTTGTTTGCATGATTGGAAGACTTAAATCTTTATGGAATGGTTCTGCAGGAAATTGAGCCCGGGTTTGCTTTTTTTTTTGAAACTTACATACATTGAAAATGCTGTCAGAGTAAGGTATTTATTTGAAGAATTTAAAACGATAAGTGGACATATACTTGTTTATATAATTTAGAATAGAAACATGCTGCTAACACTTCACTTGGGGCCTGGGTAAGTGCTGGGCTTACAGAGAAGACAAGCTGAACACAAACAGCTACCAGAACACAACCCTTCTTTGGGTGTTGGCTCCCTTCTATTCTTTTCTTCTTTTTCTATAATTGTTTGCTTTGTTTTTAGCAACTTTTTGCAGGCCTGTCATACGTGTCACGGGTTGCTCTTAAAGTTAACCTTGCTGTCCACATATTGAGTGAGTAAAGGTCTCCCACGCTATGGTGTCATCTTCAGCCGAGTTGCCACTCACTGCTCAATGGGTTAAAGGGGATATACTTAGCTCGCTTAGTATTCTTCTGTTGTTCATATTGAGGTTTTTTCAACATTTTGCTATTATGAGAAATTCTACAACGACCACTTTTGCCTTTTAAACAAGTTCTGCATTTCAGATTGTGAGGCATGCGTGTTGAAAGCCTGTTCTCTGTAAAGGCTTGCACGGGCCTACCGATGCAGCGGGTGTCTTCATTTCTGCCGTGGACACCAGGCCGTAGATTGATTGAAAGTCTTCCTTTGAGGAATTGCTTTTGCAAAAAGATTTTTTTCAAGTGCAGAGAGGAGCGGGGAAATTACTCAGAGGCCTTCAGTGTGTAGCTGGGTTTTGCTAGCTGTACGCTCTCGGGCCTTTTGTTTATTTGTCTGTCTGCCGTAACCGTTTAATTGCCTGTCCTTTGTTGGGATGACCCACCTCCACCCAAGCAAACAGCACGGGAAGGAGGCGCGTTTGACGGCTTAGGCCTTCCAACCCCAAAACTACACTCCGCAGGGGCTCGGCCTCTTCCAGGTCTGAGCTGTCAGCGCCTTCGGACGGTCGAGTGCAAATCTGAAGCGATGTGTTCTTGTAGTATGTGGCTCGGTGATGTGCAGTCATGGGGCACGGAATAAATAGCCAGAAATATGGAATGCTGAGGTTTCGGCAAGGCTAATTGAAGAGAGGGGCTCCAAATGACTTGGAAACCCTACCTCTCCAGGACCTCCTGGCTTTTTTTTTTTTAAATGCAAAAGTTGCTGTTACATTAATTCTCTTGCATTAATTAGTCATTATTAGCAGATTCAGCACTTTCTTTTTTGTCTTTCCCATGCTTTTTGTTCTCGGTTATTTTTCTTCTTCCGACTCCCAAGTAGAAATTTTAATTGGAAGGGAATATTCTTCCACCCCTCACCCCCCCTGATCTTCTGACTGTCTAGAGAGAGGCCCTGGGAGAGGTGGGAGCTGTAACACCGAATATGAATCTTTACTTCGATCGGTCATGCATCAAACAACTGTGACAGTCCCTCTCGGCGGAGAGGGATGAAATGATAAGCTTGGAGGTTGAAGTGATGTGGCTTTGGGGCGTTGCTCTTATTCTCACCACCCCTGTTATTTTGGCTGACTCACCATCGACTTTCTGGCCTTCTGACCCTCAGTTTCTGCATCGGACCAATGGGAGAAATAATGCCAGCTTTGCAGGGACGTTCCGGGAGCTAAAGGCACCACCTGTAAGGTAGCTGAGACCGTTCTTTCCAGGTCATAAGCATGTTGCCATTGGAACACTGCTATGGTGTTATGTAAGTGCTAGGTTTCCACGGGAACAAATAACAAAGGCTAGTGGAGGAGGCAGACACTAAATAACTGTAACATTATTTAATGTAGTCGCGTAAAAGGGAAGTGCCTACTGAGATCTGAGAACACAGATTTGAGGAACATTTACCTTTGTATGTTGACATCCATGCACCCCCCCTCCCCCGATTCTTGATTGTTTTTATCAAGGGGGTCACAAATAAGATAGTCAGTTATACACACACAACATCTTCACACTTATGTATATATGTGCATACATGCTTACAACCCCCAATTCCGTATCTTTATCAACTTTATATGCACTAAGTGTACCCATTTTCTGTGTGCAGTTGTGATTTTGACAGATACATGTGACTTTACTTCCTCCATCACAGTGAAGGTACAGACTAGCACTGTCAGTAGAAATACAAGGTGAGCAAAATGTGTCATTTCAAATTTTGTTGTAGCCACATTGTAAAGAGTTAAAAGAAACAGATGAAGTCGGTTTTAATAATAGCTGAAGGGACTTCAAAAGGGTGTGAAAAAAATGGAATGAAAAGGTAATGGATTTTTTTCAGAAACTAAAGCTTTCCAGAAGCGCCTGCATAGTTTATTTAGCCAAATATACTGGGGGGGTGGGGGAGCTGGGGGTGGAGAAAAAGGTAATTTAACATGTGATTCATATTGACATTGTTGCTGAGCCATTTGACTTTTTTTTTCACCTAGAGTCTTCCAAGTCCAATGTGCACTTTGCAGTCACATTTCAATTCAAATGGTGTGCATTCGCCTCATATAAATTTACAATTGGAAAGTAAATTCTTATACTCAAATTATTTTCCAATAACCAAATTGAAAACCTTTTTTTAAAATTGAAACTTTAAAGTTACTTATTTTAAAAGATGTTTTTTTAATTTAAAAAAATTTTAAACTTAGTTCTTCAATGAACGAGCCATATTTCACACATGGCTCCAGGCAGCTGTATGGAAAACACATGCAAATTGTTTCTATCACTTCAGAAAGTTCTATTGATCCTCATGTCTGTTTTTGCCAAGACTGCACTAACTTTATTATTATTACTTTATAGTAAGACTTATGGTCAGGGATGTGAGTCCCCAACTTTCCATAAATACTTGTGCATAAGCCAAGTTTTCCAGCACATTTTTAATGCAGTTTTTGTGGTAAAATTAGGTTGCCTCGGCTGATATTCAGGCCGGCTTATACTCGAGTATATACGGTAATTCTTATTTTCAAAACTGTGTTTGAACACATGTATTCATGTGTCTTTTATGTCAATTTTGGAACCAACCCATCAGTTCCAGAAGGCTAAACG